CTGCCAAGCACAGGGCATTACCAGGCTGCAGCAGCTTGAACTTTGTCACTGCAAAGTTCTTGAACCTTCAAAGTTCAAGCTTAGCTTTTAGATTGTCCACAATCAATAAAGCGTCAGTGCTCTCAGTACAGCACCTCCACCTCCAACTGCCTGTTCTATTACAAGGTAACAGTAGCTTGGCCAAATCTATGTTAATAACCCTTACTGTTCACGTCCATTATTGTGATTTTAAACAATATCAAACATTACTTTTAGGCTTAATTTGATATTTGGAGTATAAACCATTATGATCACAAAAGCCAGGGGGCTGCCATCAGCCTGTCCCAGTTTACACATGCACAAAACAGGTATTATTGGATGTTCTGCAGTCTTCACATTTGACCTTTATCAAAGTGAGCATTTATGAGCAGCTCTATTTACAAATCATGCCAATAAGTCCACATACATGTAAGTAGCTTAACCAAGCTGACTTGCCTCCTAAAGCTCTAGAATCCAGCTTCTTTGGTCTACACAACCATAACTCGCTTGTAGAGAATTCACTTAAATGTACTTCCTTCTCCAGCCTGCATTGCTCCTGCATTGCCCTAAACCAGTTTATTCTGCCACAAAAGCTGGCACCATGCTCTGCTTCTATCCCTGTACCTACGCAAACCAGCATGAGAGATAAGAGGGCAGCACTTTGTTATCTGAGGTCTCCCCAGCTAAGCAGGCAGTAGAACTATTTGTACCTCATTTTCTTTTTGGATACCACTGAAGCTGAAAGTGATAGCTGCAACCCTTTGGTTACACCTTTCATCAACAAGACAAGCTGCTTTTGAGAAAAGTAGAACTAAGGCTGAGCTTAGAGACAATTTACATCTGAAAGCAGTGGTGCTTTCAGGAAAAACAAAATCTGGCTCTGGAATGGCAAAGCCCCATTTTCCTCCTCAGCCAGCTACTGACACCTCAAAAGCACAAGCTCACAGCTCCAGCACCAAGATGGCCTCTACTGTGTGGTGCCAGCACACAGGGCTGCGGTGCCATATGGCAAATCAGATCAGGATCAAAGCTACCTCAGCAGAGTTATTTTTCAGCTGAAGTGAGAAGAGTCTCTTTCACTTGGCAGAAAGTAATTCTCAAACTGTTAAATACAGAAGAGCAGACTACAGCTGACACCCCTTCTGATGCTCTCAGTGTAGCTTAGTGAGTATTTCAGAAGTTCAACTACCAACCAAAATACAACTGTACTCTAAAGCTGAAGTTATGCTCCAGTTCAACAGCCTATAGTAGCTGATGAGCTGCTGGAATAAACAGGTCAAAGTCTATTGAAGTGGATTTCAGAGTCTCAGGCCCCATGTAACACTGCTGTGGGAGCAGGTAGGGAGTTAAAACAGAGCCATGCAACACCACCACAGCCTGAAGCTGCTCAAAGTATTCCCTGCTTCAGATCAGGATTCACTTTATCTGACGTCTGCCAAACTCCACAAGTTACTGTGAAACTATTTCAACAGATTTCTAGAAGAGGCAAACATCCCTTTGCTATGGTATATGCAGAACAGCGCCGAGTGTGCCAACCTACATGGGGGCCTTTAGAGTCCGGCTGGAAACAAACTGCACATCGCTTGACTACAGAGCATTTCCCCAACCTCAGTTGGGAGACTCCATCACTAAGGAACTAGGATATTCAAAAGCCAGAACTCATGAGACACTCTCCAGCTATCTGATGTATAATACATATTCTGTACCAAATAACTCCCTTTCTCAGTGCATACAGATATAACCAGCCTTTAAGATTCAACATGCAAGTGACAAAACTTTTTCAGGCACAAAATTGAAAGGCTTCACATGACCTGTGTGGTAACTCCAGTGAGAGAAAACTCTGAAACTAAGAACTTGAAACACCTCATAAAGACTTTTGTACCCCTGAAGCCAGGAATTACTAGGACAGGATGAAGAAAGGTGTCCCTCAATTTTACTAAGCTGGGTTTAGCCACCCCAGCAACGGAGGAGGTCTCGATTTCTCAAGCTGCACCACTTTGAGCTCAATCCCATATCTGAGCTCGAGTTCCTCATTGCTGCAACTCGAGCTGTGCTCACAGGCAGGCTCAGCTCACTGCCAACCGAGTCACCTTGCACTTCTCGCTGTGTGGTAACTCTAGAGGGAAAGCTGAAGGTGACTAACCTAGTCCCAGGCAGGGAGAGTAAACAGGCAAAAACTCCATGTGCCATACAAGCAACGTAGCTGCAAATTCATTTCATAATTGCCTGCACGTGAATTCAAGCCCTGCAGGGCTGCAGCATTCATGCACAGGCCCTTCACAGCTGCAGTGGAACAGCTATTTGGATACTGAACACCATGTTGACCAGATGAACCACCAGCAGCGTGCTGACCCCACCATCCATCTGTGCTCTTTCTGCATGCAAGAGCTCACATAGATGCACACACACTACAACCATTTGTAGAGAATAGCTTAAATGTACAAGAACTTCAGGCTGGTCACGAGAAACAGCTCTCCAGAGAGATGAGAGCCCACCAGAAAACAGTGCCAAACAGCTACTAGATGGCAGGAACTGCGAAGAAAGCTTGTCAGAGGACCATAACTTACCTGTTCTGTAGCTGTTGGGCAGTAATACACTAATAGTAGAGTTGTAAATATATTTATTAACAGTCCAATGATGGTGATCAGATTTGGGGCAATCCAGGCTGGAACTCTTCCAACTAACCATTCCCAATAACCCTGCATTAGGGGTTCAAGCAGGGATCGTCCAGCACTCTGATACTTGTGTTCTTCTAACCGTTTCAGCTGGTGCTTTGACAAGGGGGGGGTGGGCAGCTGAACCAGTTTGCTCAACACACAGCCAGCAGCAGGACCATGACTGCAGCCCACTGGGGACTCCAGGTGCGACTCCCCACATCGCCTCTTTATGCTTCGGTGCCCACTCATGGGTTGGGCGGCCTCAGAACTCTTATGTGGCAGGTAGCAGCTGTTATGGAGAATCATAAGATCCTGCAACATAAAAGGATGAGACACACTGAAGGTGGAGAGCACAAGTGAGATGAAGATCATAGCATCATAGAATCACAGAATGGTCTGGGTTGGAAAGGACTTTAATATCATCCAGTTCCAACCCATTGCCATGGGCAGGGACACCTCACACCAGACTGTGTCACCCAAGGCTCTATCCAACCTGGCCTTGAACACTGCCAGGGATGGAGCATTAACCACTTCTTTGGGCAAACCACTTGAGAACCTCACCACCCTCACAGAGAAGAGCTTCTTCCTGTGAGGAAGAACCCTAGCCTAACCTGAACTTCTCCTGTTTCAGTTTGAACCCATCACCCCTTGTCCTATCACTACAGTCCCTGATGAAGAGTCCCTCTCCAGCATCCTTGTAGGTTCCCTTCAGATATCAAAAGTTTCTAGGTGCTGCTCTAAGAAGCATTTTGTTTCCCATCAGCAAACCAAGAAGATTCTGTAAGAAAATAAAGGTATTTGGAGAATAGCTGAGGGAGAGGCAGGAAGCAAGTCTTCTCAACACAGTTATAAAATGGTTAAGTTGCACTTGTTTACTTCCCTTGCTGCCTACTGAAGCAAAGAGCCTGCAGCCACCAGTGTATGTTTCAGCAGCAGCAGAAGCTTACACCACACCACTGCCTTATGTTACAGACTAAGACACAGTCAGCCCCTCACATCTCTCTCATAGGTGGTACGTAACAGACCTGCACTACTTAGGTTATGAACTGACAGCACTAGAACCAGTACAGACACAGAGAAGTCTTAAGATAACTTGGTTTGGGGCAGCTCTACCTCTTTGGTGAAGCTGAACAACCACCTAAAGCCAGCTCTAAGCATCTTTCTCAGATCACTGTTCCTCATTTCAGTTTTGCTGTGACTTTTCTTCTTCCCCAAATTAACCCACTTCAGGAAAAAGCTCACTGTATATTCAACTTTCAAGATAGGCAAGAAACACACAGGCACTAAAGACCTTTAGTTCATCAAAGACAGCCTAGAGGCACCAGCATGAGGCAACCGTGAAAAGAAAGCACAGGGTGAGGACCAGCATTCCCAGTGCAAACAAGACCCCTCGCAATGTTCTACCTCCCTCGAAGGCAGGGGACCAGAAACATGTAACCCTCCACATGAAGAGCTGCAGTACAGAAAGGAGACTGAAATGGAAGGTTTGCTGTTTATCCACAGGCACAAACCAGAGAAAAAAGCTTAGCTGTAAAGTGTAACAGAACGAAGGTAGGGAGGGGATGATGACAGCTAAAGCCAACAGCAATGCATGTAGCCAGTAAGAAAAACAAGCTGTGCAAATCAAAGGTCAATACTGGCATAAGAACAAGTGCTCCCATTTCCACTCTCCACAGCTTAATTAAGGCAGTTTCCAGCAGTGAAAGGCCAGTCTCAGAGAGCCCTGTCAGTGGGAGGAGAGGAGAAAGCAAACAGACAGGGCCTCACTTGGGCAGGACCTCGATAAGCTCAGATCAGCAGACTTGGACCTACTCATTTATCAAGAAACCAGACTTAGTCAGCGAGGAGGTCCCTGCAGGTCTTGTCCTGGATGACCAGAAAGAAGAGCTTCAATGCAGAAAACGATCCGCTTTGCCTCTCTTCCCGAGAAGCTGCTCCCCCCGAGGGGAGGCCCCTCCGGAGCCAGGAGAGAAAACAACCAAAAACCGCCTCGTCCTCCAACACAAACAACCCCACAGTGCCCGGCTTCCTCAGGACTTTCACCCTGACCTGCCCGCTGCTGGCCAACACCCGGGGCAGGGGAGCGAGGGCAAGGGCACCCCTCGGCCCAACCAAACGCCGCGCCCCCCACCCAGAGCAGGCAACGCCGGGGACCCCAGGACCCACCAGCCCCCAGGCCGGGTGAGGGTACCCCGGCCCAGCCCGCAGCACAGGCCCAAGCTCGACCTCAAGGAGCTCCCCCCGCACCCCACACCACACCCCCTGTCCGTGAGGGGCCCGGCGGGCGCTCGCAGGGCCGGCAGGACGGGTTCGTCCCCGGTATCCCGCCCGCCACGGCGAAAAACCCACCATTTACCTCAGCCTCCCCGCACCGGGCGGCGCTTTTACGCCCCTTTTGCGACGGCCGGAAAGGAAGTGGGCGGGGCGGGAGGGGAGGGAAGGGGCGGGGCGAGGACGGCGCGGGAGCCCCTGAGGTAAAGTGGGTGTGGGGATGAGGGGGTGGCACCGAGCGCGGCGTTCCCGGTATTCCCGGTCACACTCGCACCCCCCGGTCCTCCCCTCAGCCATCCTCCGGTCTCCTTTCACCTCCCCATCACCCTCTCAGCGACCCTCCCGTGTTCCCCGCTCTCAGCCCTGGGAGCGCTCCGGGAGACCCTCAGGGCCGCCCTCCCTCCGGTCAGCCCTAGTGCCCTCCATCGCTCTGCCCCGCTGATCGCCAACCACCATCGCTCTGCCCCATCGAGCCCTCAGGCTTCCCCTCTCCATGTCCCCTTCCCGCCCAGCTCCTTTCAACCTGCCCTCCGGCCCGGTCCCTTCCCTGTCCCCTGTGCCTCCAGTCCCTCCTTATGACCTTGCAGTAACTTCAGTTCCCCAGCTGAAATGCAGAAAACCATCTCCCGTGCTCTGCTTCGGGTACTCACTGAGTTTGAGCTGCTTTTCTTAGGTTAAACAGGTCGCACTGACAGCGTGTGCTGGACACCGAGCTCCTCAGGCAGCCGCAGGGACAGGCTGCTATCGCCCTTGTGTGCCAGGTTCCCATGCATCCTTATGTCGTGCTGTCTTGTCCCTGGCTCTGCCTGGTTTGGTGCTGTGCCGTTCTGCTGCTGAGTAACAGGGGCTTAGTGAGGGCTTGAAGCTCGCTTCCACTCTCTGGAAGCTCTGTTCCATATCCAAAAGATTTAATAGCAACTTTTTGGGTGTTTGTACCGAGAAAACACTCAAAATTGAGTCATCTGTCCCTGCTCCGCAGTGGGAACAGAAAAGGTGACACATTTCCTACTTTCTTACTTGTAGTAATGAGGATTAAACCACATTTAACTGTTGTTTGTCAGTTTAACCCTGCCACTAAATTGCGCAGATGAACACATTTAATCCCCATCCAACCTTCACGTTTACCTCGGACTGCACACCACAAATTGCGTTGTCATTGTTCCTTCAGCAGTGGCTGGAGTGAGAAAGGAGTATCCCTTTGTGCAGCTTTATCTCTGCCTGTGCTGCTGAGAGCAGGGAGCAGGCAGGTCGGCAATCAGGGTCTCAGCGGTAATGTAGACATTTCCCTTTTCCCCACGCCCTTTAACCATCTTTTCAGCATTATCATTCTCACTAACTTTGTGCTGTTAATGGGCTTGGCCGCCTCTAGTTTCCATTGCATATGCCCCAGCTTGTGCAGGATGCTGCTGCACACTTCCTGCATTTCAAGAAAAACCTCAGACATGGTTAAAATCTGCTTCTTCGACTTCCTCTTGATGGTGGTTTGATAATGTCGATCTCTGATACTCAATCTGGGGCTTAAAAACGCCCTTAGGACACCCAAGTGTTGTGTTGCAAAGAGAGGCCAGGCATTGCTGTTGGTAAGGACCTTGTGACAAAACCAAGGAGGTTGAGTGTGTTGTCTGCCTCACTCTCGAAAACAATAGGACAGGATAAGGTGTTAATAATCATTTCAGGACCTTCCAACTGGCAAATCACAAGGCAGTTCCATCCTGCCTCCCTGGGATTTGGGATGCTTCCCTATGTGCCTGTGCTTGCCCAGAGCCCTGCAGTGCCTCGGTGTTATCTGCAGCAGTGTGAATTTGGACAGCCTGGGGCAGATGGTGCCATAAATGTACCCGTGCTTTGCAGGGACCAAAGATGTGTTTGGTACATACAGTCTGCCCTCATGAGAGTGTGAAACAGACTTGATTTCACTGGGACAACTTAAACAGGAAGGAGGGTGATGGGAGAGGATAAGAATTTAGGGAAGATCTTGACAGAGCTAAGAAAGAATTTAGTAGAGAAAAATGTACAGAAGAGTTTTAAGTGGAAGGAGAGTGTGTCAGGGAGTTGTGTCTGTGAAAGTAAGAGGATCAGAGCTGCAGTTCTCTGACAGAGCCCAAACCAGCTCTAATCTTGGAGCTGGGGGGACGTACCAGCCTGCAGCTACCTTCACAGGGAGGAGCTGTGCCTCACCAGAGCTCTCAGGCTACAGCCGAAGCAACCTCACTGCTCTTTAACCTGACCACATGAAAACCACCCTAATTTGTGTGCAGGCCTTAGCTCTGGGCTAAGTGACAGCTTGGATCACAGAGGTGCTCAGTCTTGACTCAGTGAGGGCTTCCCTGCAGCAGGGCTTGCTCTGGAACAAACCTTGCCTGCATGGACACATCTATCTTGTAATAAGAGCAATATCCAGGAGGGAAATTAGGAATAGCTGTTCTGCTTCACTTGAAAGCTTTCACTTCAAGTTAAATCTTTGTGTAGACAAGCCCTATAAATCAAAGTCTTAAGCCCTGTTTCTCTGCATTTCCCCCATCCCACCACACACCAGCGTCACTCCTTAAACCACTTGGAATGCAGGCAGACACTGTGTCAGGCCAACATCTAACCCAAACAGTCAGTCAACAGCAGTGACTAAGAGAAGATGGAAAGGAGAAGAAATACAATAGAGTAAGAGGTATCCTGATTATTTTCCTTTATATCTCAAAGATTTGGGAGAAAAATGAAGCAAATGTGGAACTTCAGCAGAAAGACGACTTTGGATTCCTGGTGAGTCGACACTTCTTTCAGTGCCCTTGTTCTCAGGTATGTGGCATATTGTTTGGTTGTTTAGGTTGTTAATAGGGCACTATTAACACCTAAATGCTAAAGGAAAAGTACAATCTGAGCATCAGACTGACTGCTTAGAGTTTTGAACTGCGTGCCTAGGCATGCAACATCTGCAGCAAAGAATGCTGAGCAAGATTTGCATTTCCTTTCCAAATTCCCAATTTATTCACACAAGATTGTGAAGTTACATTCGTTACTATTTTTACTGCGTTACAGTCTCAAAATGAAACTCAGCATGAGAGGGCAAATGTTATGCTTAGGTAAAAATGAAAGCCTAGGAGTAAGAAAGCAAGCAACTAATTCTATCATTCAGTACATCTCTTGTTAGTCTTGGTGCTTCCTATCTTTTCTCTTGCTCCTTTCTTTGTCTCTCACACCTCAGGCAGTGCCCACCTCCTGAAGCTTCTCAGTGCTGCACTACTTGTTCTGTCATGGTATCATTTTGCTTTTCTCACATACTGTTTGATCTTGGCTTGGATGACCTTGGATCTGCAGTCTTTGTTATTTGCTCTTCCCCTTTGTCCTATTTTATATTCCATTTACAGTCTCCAGATTCAACTGTACTTAAACACCTTCTGCACTATTCTCCCCAGTGTTAGGGAATGCTACCAGTAAAATGGCATAAAACACAAGAAGAAAAGCCTGAAGTGGGATCTCATCAGTGTGGGAGGCTCAGGTGGGATCTCCCTACCTGAAGGGAGGGTGCAAAGCAGACAGAGCCAGGCTCTTCTCACTTTTTCACTGTGAGGATGGCTGGGCACTGGCCCAGCTTGCCCAGAGAGGCTGTGCCATCTCCATCCTTGGGAGATACTCCAAAGCCATGCTGCACAACTGGCTCTGGGTGGCCCTCCTTGAGCAGGGAGTTGGACAAGATGACTTCCAGAGGCCCAGGCCTACCTCAGCAGTTCTGGGGTTCTGAAATCAGCTCCGTTTAACTTTGTATTTGAAGCCAATAGTAAATTACTTCCTGTAGCAGCAGGAGCAGAGAGGAGTCACAGCTCTCTCCGTGTGAGCTCACCAGGGTGACACAGCTGCACATTGTTACTCTGAGAGAACTGGAGGTGTAAACACAAAATAGCTGTCAGGCTGGGACTCATGGAAGTGCTCTAGTACAGAGCCATTTCACTCCATTGGAAATGCACCTTTTCTTCCCACCTGTAGAAACACAAGTGTAGCTGCTCTACTGCCACCAGGAGGAAGCAGGCCTTGGGTTTGAAGGTTGTGGCTGGTAGCACTCAGCTCATAGATAATCCGTGAGTTTATTGCAGTGATGCTTATAACAGATGTTGAGTCACACGGAATGACAGGGAGTGACTGAGTGCAGATATTAAAGTAATTTTAGGTCATTTCCTCCACGTCTGCCTAGTTGGTTGTTAATAGAAGTTGGAGGCACTACAGCAGCCACTATCAGTTCAACTGTCACTACTGGGACACATTCTCCATCAGCCCCACTAATTCTACCACGGTGTTATGACATAAAGGTAAGAAGAAAATAGAGTCAGTTATTCACAATGACTCGCTTGACGTTATTCTGGCAGCAACAAATGCTGAGACACATAGTAAAGTGACAGTACTAGTTTCTTTTCTCATAGATTTTCAGAATTAACATTTCCAGATGTTACTTATGATTGTTTCTGTGCTGTGAAGTCAAATGTTCACTCTGTGTTTGCAGGCCAGGACTGAGAGCAACATCAGCTTGCTGTACTTGAAGCATTTGCCTCAAGAACAGCAAAACCTTTGAGAAATCTTAGTAAACCTTTGGATTTGATTCTTCACAGTGCTCAGAGTTAGACACCAGTGTTAAAATGTGGTGGTTTCAGCAAGGCCTCTCGTTCTTGCCCATGGCTTTGGTTGTGTGGTCAGCTGCATCTTTTGTGTTCTCATACATTACTGCAATCATCCTACACCACGTGGACCCTTTGGTGCCCTACATCAGGTCAGTAACATTCATCCTGTGTCACAGTATTGACTCCTCCTCTCAATTCCTCCCCAGCTCCAGACTCTGAACAGCAGTTCTTACCTGACTGCTCCAGTTCTAAAGCTACTGGCTGTTAATAGTTATTTATGTATAACTGTTTTGGTGCAGAATACTAACCTTTAAGCTGTGGCTCTGTAAACACAGCCTTAAAATGATGATGAAAAAGAAAACAGGAGTGCATCTCCAGCTCTCTGTTCAAAGCATCTTGCTGTTGTGTCAGTAAACATGTACTAAGATCTGTATTCCCAGCTGCATTGCATCAAAGCTATACATTTAACTGTAGTTTTGGTCTTTCAGTTTTCCAGAGTCTTAATTTCCCCAGTTTTAATACTCTTCATTCACCTTTTATGGAATGGAGATCGATATAAAAAGGATAGCTACACCAAGTATGTTCATTCCTTGTTCTAAGTGTAGCACGTTTTCACCATGCTTATTTCTGCAGCTCTGGAAACTAATGAAGTATAGTTTGAACAATGAAAAATTCTGTGAAAAAAGGATTTTTTTCCATAAACCTCTCTCTTAGACTGAAATAAGTATTTTTGTATAGATAGATACATGTCATTCCATTTATCTCTTCCAGTGACACAGGGACAACACCACCTGAGAGATGCTTATTTGGGATCATGTTAAATATTTCGGCTTTCTTGGGTGAGTACAGAAAGCTGCCCTGGGTGAACTGCAACAGTTGTGAAGTGCACAGAGCTTTAAACCACTTCCTTTCCTTACTCAGATCATTAAACAGCCCATAATTCACAGTCAGAACCTGAATTCTAAGCAATTAATCTTCATTCTCTTCAGATTCAGAGGGGAAGTGTTTGTCAGGGATGCTACCCACATCCAGCATCACAACTGCAGAGTCCAGAAGGCTAAAAATGCACTTAAAATCCCAACAGAATAGTAAAAGAAATAGAAATCCAAATCCAAGGCAATCACCTTGTGCTGTGATTGCAGAGAAAGGGAAGAAGAACCTGGTTATGTCTTTCAAATGAAAGAGAACAGAAAAATGCAGTGTTGACATGTTTGCCACGATATTATTTTCAGTTTTACCTTCCAGATTCCCAGCTTTCCCATTTCAGGCTACTGTAAGACAGTTTTTGCATTATAAATAGCTGCCTCTGTCACTCAGCATCTCCCCAGGTCAAACAGGACAGTGTGTTCCTCACATTAATATCTCACTGGTCTGGGTTCTTTGTTAACAGGTATGGCCACCATGTATGTCCGCTACAAACAAGTTCATGCTTTGAATCCAGAAAGATCCAGGATCCTGAGGCTTAACAAGATCGGCTTCACTCTAGGCCTGATGAGCTGCTTTGGACTTTGCATCATTGCAAATTTCCAGGTTGGTGCTTTGTCTGCAGTGTTCTAGGGCAAACCTGGTTTATGTCAAATTCCCTCCAGAAAACTGTTAGAAAACCCCAAGGTTTGGTTTATAATTTCTTACTTATTTGCTTTATCCACTGGGACATTTCAAAACCCCACAGGTTTGGCAGAAAGCAAACAGACTCACCTTGGGTCTCCTTATAGGAGCTTTGAAAGTTCCAGATTCAAAGGCCACGACTGTAGCATATATATTGCCTCAAGAGAATCAGGTATCATATAGTAAAAACTTGTTACAACTGCAAGTAATCCAAGTAAAACAAAACCACCCACCCTCACCAGAAGTCCAGCCCTGAAAAATCTGCCCTTTTAGGTGTATTTTCCTTCAAATCTGTGCAATTAAGGTTACTGCAGTGTCAACCCCCTCCTGAATTTCTCCATCCCAGTGTCCCTTACTTTGTTTTTCTCCCCAGTACTTCCCACCTCCTCCTCCAAAACATAATCTGATATTCTTACACCATCAGCAGGACCACATTCTGCATCGTTGGCTGTTACACGCAGGGCAGTTGTACAGTTACAACAGTTACAGTTACAGCCTCATTTCCTTAATCACCTGCTGGATTTGGGGGCTCTGTAGTGGTGCCTTTAACCACTACAGGCTGCAGTGTAACCTTGCTCTCCTGCTGGATTAGGGCCAGGGAAAAGCAAAGAGGAAGAGCTCCTGGAAAGCTCCACCTTTTTCCCTTCTTTTCCCCTACCACCGCTCTCCAAGTGCTTCAGCAGCCCCTGCAGCTCTTATAACTGCCCATAGTTAAGATGAGCTGTAACTTAACCCCAAGAGCTTAACAAAAGCAACAGGGGGCTGCAGGTGCTGGCTTCCAGCTGACTTTGTACAGGGTTTCCAAGAAAAATCTCCTAAATAACAGCATGTTCCAGAACTGCTTAGCTTGGGCTATGAGAAGGTAATGGAGAGGGTGGAATGCCAAGGTTTACAGGGGAAAGAGTTCCGAGTCTAAAATGAAAGCAGGTTATGTACAAGCAGTGCTTTCCTTCCCTAGAAATGTGTTCTGTACTACATCCACGTGGTTGGAGCCTGCCTGACATTTGGAGTAGGGGCCATTTACATGCTGGTCCAAACCATCCTGTCCTACCTGATGCAGCCAGAACTTCACAGCAAAGACATCTTCTGGATCCGCCTGACCGTGTCACTCTGGTGCTGGTCAAGCATCTTGAGCAGTATCCTTTGCTGTCCAAAGCAGCCTTTACAGATGACAGAGTTTGCACCTACATGAATTTAACCTTCCAACAGGGAAGGCTGGCCCACAGAAGGCCTGTCCTCTTCACACATACAGCTTGTACCACACTATCTGTTCATAGTCTGGGAGCTTTAGGAAGAAAGGAACCATCAGGTTAAGCCCACAAGTGAGACTGGATAGTAAGAATAGGTAAGAGGGGTGGTTACCACCCTTCCTCCTCTCCTTCTGCACACCACAGACTGAAAATGGCAAAAATGAGAGTTTATCACAGAGGTTTGCCTGCAGATTATGACACAGGGAGAAAGGGAAGTGAACTGAAGAGATGAATGGTTTTAATGGGGGAGAAGGGGAGGAAGCCAGGTGGGAAATAAAAGTGCCTGTTCCCTGCTGACAGGGATGCAGCAACTTTTATGTTTGAATACCACTAAAAGAGAAGTACAGATGTAGCATAAGAGAAAATACACTACCCTGGCCACACGCAGCAGTGCTGCAGTGCCAGCTGGCTCCCAGAGAAGTGCTGGCATTTATCAGAGAGACAGTTTGGAAGCGTATTGGCAAGGTTGATCCAGAAGATATATTTCACCTCTCATCTCCTCCCCTGCCCATCCTACAGTTCAAAAGACATGATGTTTCTGACTGGCATTCCCTACAGCCTTCCCTCAGCTCTGGAATCCACCATGTCCCTTAACTTTGAAATCAGAGTGCTGGAGGGAGCTGTGGGTTTTACAGAAACATGGGCAAATCCATGCAGAAGTAGAAGCCCTTTTCTTGGCCAGAATCATTTAACCATCAGGGCACTGAATCACTGCAGTTCCTTTGCTCATCCCGATGGACCTAAACATTGTAGTTTGAAAGTTAGGACTCAGTTTTCTGTTAAACAGGACAACACTAAAGCTTTCAAATTCACATCCCAAAGACAGTAACTCAGTGCAGAAGTCAGTTAAATGCTGTCCCTTCTGCAGCTGAATCAAGGCCACTGGTTTAATCCAATTCCACTTATTTCCTAGGCTGGTAGCCAAAACTAACACTAAACCATATGGTCCATTTCCCAGTGATGGATCATCTCACTGGGCTTCCATTCCTGCTAATCCAAGATTATACAGCCTGAACTAGTCAGATGAGAGGCAATAGTGAGGCACAGGCTGGTTAGCTTTAGAAGCAAGAAGGGTCCTTATGAGCTGAGGAGGCTTGACACAGAGCAAGGAGATCAGCTGTGAGATGGAGAACTGCCATCCCAAGCAAAAATTTGTGGTGCTAGAAAAGGATTGTCAGCTTTGAAATACCAGGAGCCAGATATGACTGGGGAGAGTGGAATGGAAGAGTATGATCTGCTGCAAGATAAGAGCCTTTTACAGATGCCCAAAACCCACAAACCCCAAATCTATAGAGGTTTTCTGAACTGGTGTGGCCTAACCAAAATGAGAGGGAAGTAATGCTGTAGAAATAATTACATGTTCATAGAAAGTATGGAAGCGGAAGAAAAGGGAAGTTGTCAGTACTTTCTACATTAACAGTTCATAATGTAATAAGGGAGATATGGTAACAGAGAGAAGTCGGTGGCCATGGTGAAATAGATGTAACTGGTACTGGAACACAGAAGGAAATGCATCTTGTACCAGCAGCAGTGTGGCAGCAGGGCCAGGGCAGGGATTTGTACCCCTATACTGGGGGGGTTTAGTCTGGAGAAGAGAAGGCTCAGGGGGGACCTTATCTCTCCCTACAACTGCCTGACAGGAGGATGGAGCCAGGAGGCGCTGGGCTCTGCTCCCAAGGAACAAGGGATGGGACAAGAGGAAAGGCCTCAAGCTGCACCAGGGGAGGTTTAGATGGAGATCAGGAACAACTTGTTCACCAAAAGGGTTGTCAAGCACTGGAACAGGCTATTGAGGGAAGTGATGGAATCACTATCCATGAAGGAATTTAAAAGATTTGGTGCTTTGGAACACAAGTTAGTGGTGGCCTTGACAGTGCTGGGGGCACAGTTGGACTTGATCATCTTGAAGATGATTTCTAACCTAAATGATTCCATAAAAATAGTCCTGATCCCCTGGAGTGAAGCAGCAGAATGGCCAGCACAGAAGGAGCAAAGCAGTCAGTTGCATCCTTTGATGAGGGGAGGATGGGAGCCAGCTGTATGTGTACCAGGCTGATTGAATTCTTTCAGTTGCAGCAGTGACTCAGGCAGGTAACTAACAACTACTAAAGGTGTACATTTGAATTAGCAGGGAATTGGATATCTTGCATTCAGGTCGGTAACCAGAGCTCCCTGGATCACTCATCCATTTTTAAAGAAGCTTTGGAAGTCTGGGTTTTCAAAGCCCAGTTTGTGTCAGGAAGTTCAGCCTTGTTCACCACCAGAATTAACCTTCCACAGCAGGAGGCTCTTGATGCTTAATCTTATTCATGAGTGAAGAAAATAATAGCCTAATCCTATGAGAATCAGATGTTCTATAACTGAATGCTCCAGGTTTCATTGGTGAAGGAAGGTAAGCTGATGTAGCTCACCTTCCCACTGTAAGATGTTGAAAAGTGGTATCTCTAAAGAGCCCAGGGCTCTGATCAAGTGAGGAATCCTTGTCATGGGGGGGGGGGGGGGGGGGGGGTTCCTTGGCTGTGGACCCAAAGCAGTTATCAAACCCTGAGTGAACCAAGAGGCAAACAGAAAAGCTGATAACCCTCTCTGCTGAAGTGATGCAGTGCTCCCAGGTATCAGGAATTCCAGGTGGCCAAGAAGCTGAAAAGCAATCACAGGAAGAGGCACTCTTAGCCTGGAAAATACCTCTGAAACTAAACCAAAATACGAAGTATTCACATTTGATCATCGTATAAGTGCTTTCATAAGGATGCTGTATGTGACCAAGGAGGTGAAACAAGATACAGAGAACAAAGGTAATGGGTTTAGACTAGAATGAACCTTTTCATGCAACAGGAGGTTAGTTGGAACAACCTGCAAGTGGAAGGGGATGATGTGAAGCAGTTCCTGGCACCATTCTCTTCATTATCCTCTGGAGACCTCGTGGAAAACATGCTGGAATCTCCTTCCAGCCTCAGCTGACACAATCCAGAGCAGAGTCGGAAATGTCTCATTGCTCATTCTTGGCCTTGAATCTTCCTTAACGTGTTTCTCCAGTGTTTGTTTCCTCAGTTGTCTTATACAGTGGCCTGTATGGAACAAATCTCGTGCAGAAGTTGCACTGGGACCCACAGGAAAAAGTAAGTGATTGAGTGGAGAAACTAAAGCCAGAACAAAATCCCTCTCCATTTTCAGATGCATTGGGGCATTTACTGCAGTTGTGTTCACACCCCAGCTTGGCTGGGGTGAAGCAGAGCTCCTGCTGCTGCCTGGTGGAGTCAGGAGGTGAAGGTGGCCACAGGGCACTGCCATTGAAGTGGGAAGTGCTGGACAGAGAGATCCTGAGTTTGACAGAGATCCTGTGGGTCTTCACAGCTCTGCTGGTCTCTCTGACCCTCCTCATCCTCTCCAAGCACTGCTGGAGGTGCAGGCTGGTTCTGAGGGCTTTTCCCAGCCCTCCCTTTGTTTAAAGCATAAGGAGCCTCTCGGAGATCTGTGGACAACCAAAAGAGAGCCTTGAACCTCACCTTTCTAATGAGGTTTTGCATTGGGCATACTCTGCATTGAGCCTGCAGGTTTTAGCAGATTCCCAGTGGGGCCACCCCAGCTGTGTGGAGCAGCCATTTCCTGGTCATTCTCTTTCTTCTACTCCAGGCTCTGGACACACTAAGTTTTACTCTCCAAAGGGAGCAGTTGTGGTTGTGGGATGTCGTACGTGGGAGCCATCTTTGTGCCATTGCAGGTTCAAGAGGAGGTTTTCACACTGATTTTTTTCCTCCTCCTGCTATCACACAGGGCTACACAGCTCACATCATCAGCACTGTCTCAGAGTGGTCGTTGGCATTCTCCTTCCTCAGCTTTTTCCTCACGTACATCCAAGACTTTCAGGTAAAACAAAGTTCCTGTTAGGTGCTCTGGTTCTCCAAGCTCTGAACAGCCCAACATGATGCAAGACTGGTTTGGGTTGGAAGGAACCTTAAAGCTCCTCCAGCTCCAACCCCTGCCACAGGCAGGGACACCTTCCACTAGAGCAGCTTGCTCCAAGCCCCTGTGTCCAACCTGGCCTTGAACACTGCCAGGGATGGGGCAGCCACAGCTTCTCTGGGCACCCTGTGCCAGTGCCTCAGCACCCTCACAGGGAAGAGCTTCTGCCTAAGAGCTCATCTCAGTCTCCCCTCTGGCAGGTTCAAGCCATTCCCCTTGGCCTGTCCCTACCGGTCCTTGTCCCAAGCCCCTCTCCAGGTTTCCTGCAGCCCCTTTAGGCACTGGAGCTGCTCTCAGGTCTCCCCTTCAGGAGCCTTCTCTTGTCCAGGCTGCCCCAGCCCAGCTCTCTCAGCCTGGCTCCAGAGCAGAGCTGCTCCAGCCCTCGCAGCATCTCCATGGCCTCCTCTGGCCTCTCTCCAACAGCTCCACGTCCCTCTTGTGCTGCTGCCCCAGAGCTGGACCAGGACTGCAGGGGGGGTCTCCCCAGAGCACAGCAGAGGGGCAGGATCCCCTCCCTGCCCTGCTGCTCCCACTCTGGGGGTGCACCCAGCACATGAGCTCTGGAGCTGATCTGCATTTTTGGTGTTCCATGGGTCCTGAAGCAGCTCTGTGCCTGTGCCCAGGCAGGGGCAGAGCCAACTCGGATCCTTTCCTTTCTCCTGTACAGAAAATCTCCCTGCGCGCAGCCGTGAGCCTGCATGGACAAACCCTTCACAACCACCCGCCGAGCTTTGTGACCGAGGAGCAGGCACTGCTGGTAGCAGGGAGCATCTAATGAAGGTGAAGAGACTGTGTTCTCTGCAGAACTCAGGAATTCCAGAGCAATAACACTTGCTGTTTCTAAGCACTTATTTTAGATATAACCACATGAAGGGATTGCGTTGCACTTGACAGAAGGGGCTTTGCCAGGAGCCCCACAGCAATGCACGTGTTAGCAGTACTGTGACCGAGCCTGTAACATTTCTGCACATGCCAATGTCATGGAAGAATTAAATGAAGGTTATTAAAGAGTTGTCTCCTCATCACCTCCACCATACCCAGCCTGACCTCCCTCAGCCCTGTGCCTCCTCTCTCCAGCATTCCTCTGGCCAAGTCCCTTTTGATGGGCTCTTGTCTTCCCGTGCCCACAGCTCCCTCATGTGCATGACCTGCACACCAGGCAGGAGCAGGACAGACCCCAGAGCCACCTCCTTTGAGCAACCCACAAGGAGATCTGCCTTCACACCATGCCTTGCTCACAGGAAGCCTGACCAGCTCTCCTGCTGCTGGAAGGGCAGCCACGTGTTTGTTCCTCAAGAGGAGCCCTGAGGAGCAGCAGCAGGAACCTGTGAAAGCTGCTCCAAGGCCAAGCCATGCTGAATTCCTCCTGGGAACTGCTGGAGCTGAGGGACAGGTCCACCAGGAGCCCACGTGCAGCATCCCAGCTGCACAACTCTTGGCAGAGCCACACTCGCAGCCATGTCGCATCCACTCGAGCACGGACTCAGCAGGCACAGAGCATCACACACAGCCCTGTAGCCCTGACATCCCCAGTGCTCCCTGAGACAGCCTCCAACCCAGGAGCCAACTGCTCACTCCTCTGGCCACTTCCTCTGGTGTCAGCTCACGGACCTGCTTCAAAGGTTAAGCTCCACACGGGCAGCGCTCAGCACCATGGGCACGTGCCAGGGTGCCCATGAGGAGTGTATGTACAGGGACAACACCCTGCAGACTCCCAGCATCTCAAGGCAGTTCCAGCAGACCCTGCTGGCTCGCAGGGCTTTTCCCTTCTTCCCTTTGATGCCATCCAAAACCCACCGCAGTGCTCCCCCAGCAGCTCAGCACCGTTTGCTGGGTTTCTTCCTCATTTGTAGATGCACAGAAGTTCAACCTCAGAGCATCAAACTCTGTTTAACAACCCCCTCAATGCCAAGGAGAAGCCTCTTCCTCCCCTCTCCATCTTTTACCAGGATCAGCTCCATGCTCCTCACCAACTGCTCCAGAGCTACATAACCCCATTGAATCACTGCCTTGTTCTCCCCCTCGATCCCACCAGCACAGAAGCATCCCGAGGGCTGGGCCAGGTCCTGCCCTTCCTGCGGCACACCCTTGACAGGCAGCTCCCTGCAGGGAGCTGGGCACAGCCAGGCTCTGCTGGCTGAGGACTCAAGCAGTCAACCCAAGGAGCTGCTTCCTTCCCTGCCACAGGACTTCCAGGCCCCCAGGGACATTCATAAACCTTCACTGCCCTGAGCAGCCTCACCTGGGACCTCCTCACACGCTCTCTGCCCATGGCCCAGGACCAGCCAGGAGCACCCTTCAGCTCTGTCCCAGCTTTACGTTGTCCTACCATGGACAGCTCCGCTCTGTCAGGTTGCATCACGCTTCAACAGCCCTCGTCTGGTGGGAGCAGTGGAGTACACAGCGGGATGGATTTCCACCCAAAGCCAAATGGGAGCTGCCAGCCTGGATGGGGGGGAAGATGTGGAGGAAAAATGGGAAGGGAAATGGCAACAGAGAATGTGGAGAGCACATTCAAGCGGTGCCTTGAGAGGCTGGGGCAGGAGCATGCAGCATTACTCAGGGGAGCTATGCAGCTGACACGAAACAAGGTCTCAATGGTTTGATTGAGGGGTTATCATTATTTAATGAAGAAGTGTTAGCAAATGAGGGCACCGTCGATTCAAAAGGGAGAATTAACAGGGCTGGCCCAAAGGCAGCATGTCCGCAACTCATTGAGCCTGTCCAGAGAGCAACCACGTCAAACCTGGCACAGAAAGACTCAGAGGGGATGGAGAAAAGCAGCCTTGGACAACCTCAACTTGCATCTGAGTGAGCGGGTGATGAAGGGACAGCAAATCAGGAGGAATTCTGCCAGGAGTCTGGGATCAAGGCGCAGAACGAGCCCACAAAGTTCCCATCCTGCCATCACAGGGAGCTGACAGATCTGTCTGGAATGGAGACGTCGGTAGGAAGATGCAGAGCAAAGTGATGAAGAGGAATGGGTTTATGAATGAGCAGGAGGACACTGTCCTGTTCAGACAGGAACCCGAAAGATGCAAGAGCTGAAGTTCTCACTGAGAACTGCTGTAGTACCAGAGGACAGGAGAGTGGCAAATTCAATGGTTTGAAGCATTCCCATCACATGGAGCTACACAAGCAGCACTTCCTTGTCCACACCAATGAAAATAGGTGGAAACTGGCAGAACCATGGACCATGCAGGAAGAGGTTGGGATATTGCAGCAACAATGCAGTCAATTGCAGTGGGAAATCTCTTGGAGATGCTGGAGATGAAACCCCTCTCTCATGAGCACAGGCAGGTACCAAGGGAGGTGGCTGTGTGGCCTGGCTGGAAGGCACCAAGATGCTGGTATCCAGGTGGTGCCTATTGCTGTGTGCTGGGACCTGGGGGATGCCATCAGCTTCCAAACCCTCCTCAAACCTCTGGGGGCTTCTGATTTTGGCCACTGCATAGGGGCTTTGACACCACCTTTCCATGCCCTTCAGGAGCTGACAGATTGGTGTCTTTGCCCATCCTTCCTCACTTGTGTGGACCACCTGGATTTATTTACTGTCTTTTCTCTTATGTGGGTGCCTCATCACTCCAGCTTCATCTTCCCACCATCACCTCTTCAAGGCCTGAGATTTCATTTTGATCTCTTGTCTTCATTTATTCTGTCATGAGCTGGAGATCCTCAGCACCTACAAACACGTCCCGGGGGTTTCCTCAATGGAAGGCAGAAGCCTTGGATACTCCTCTTGGAGCCGGTCCTCTTCAACATTTCACATTCAGAAATCCAGGCTGGTTTGGGTTGGAAGGGACCTTAAAGCTCCTCCAGCTCCAACCCCTGCCATGGGCAGGGACACCTTCCACTAGAGTAGCTTGCTCCAAGCCCCTGTGTCCAACGTGGCCTTGAACACTGCCAGGGATGGGGCAGCCACAGCTTCTCTGGGCACCCTGTGCCAGTGTCCCACCACCTTCATAATGAAGAGCTTCTTCCCAGTATCTCCTTCAACTCTTCCCTGTTCCAGCTGGAAGCTGTTTCTCCTCATCCCATCCCTACAGGCCCTTGTCCCAAGCCCCTCTCCAGCTTTCCTGCAGCCCCTTTAGGCACTGGAGCTGCTCTCAGGTCTCCCCTTCAGGAGCCTTCTCTTCTCCAGGCTGCCCCAGCCCAGCTCTCTCAGCCTGGCTCCAGAGCAGAGCTGTTCATTTCTGTGATCATTTTGTCTTTGCACTCTTCAAGGCATCCACTCTCAGTCTCCATCCTGACCTCCTTCCCCACGTTGGTCTCTGTGGAGAGACAATGATGGGCTGGATGAATCTTCAGACTAACCCAGCGCTGACTACTTAGGGTTTCATGCCTTGCTATTGAAAGCAGTGCCACTTCCCTTTCCATTGCCAGAAGCCTTCTTCAGACTGCACTGCAGCTGCTCGACACCTCCAGATCCACCAGAGGACACGTAGGGCTCTGCCCAGTTCAGCCTTGGCCAATGCTCCTGCTGCCAACTGCGCCATTGGAAACGGGTCACACTTTGTCCACCCAAATCATGGCAGTGTAGGACACTCAGGGTCAGACCCACACGCTCCAAACCAGGCTGAAAGCTGAACCTGCACATCCCCGATGACAAGTACCTGCAGATGCTTCTGGTCTTTGTGCACAGCTCCACTCACAGCAGCTGCCTGTAGCACTGGACCCGATGAGCTCCAGAGTATGCAGCTTCCAGGATCACCATCCTTGGAAGCATCCAAAAGCCACGTAGATGTGGCGCTTGGGGACACGGGTTAGGGGTGGCTTCGCAGTTGGACTTGATCTTAAGGGTCTTTTCCAACCTAAATGGTTCTGTGGTTCTGTAAAAGGCTGGGGCAGCCCTCTGTGAAGATCAGTGTCCTACAGAAATGCCTGTGCTGCGGTGGGTCCTCCTCTAGCTGGAAAGTAACACATGGATAGTTCTGGCTGCATACTCCAAGTCACCGCGTTGGGCTGCTGGTGGCATCATCACTGCTTCCTGATCCATTCTGCCCAGCACTCACTGGCACCTCTGCTCTTCCAAACCAGGAATCCCAAAATGGTTTCCCACTGATTCTTCCTGAATATTTACTTGGGAGTAAGCTTGAATTCACTTGAAAGCCTAACTCTATGGATTCCATACTGCAAGCCATGGCGTGTATCTGCAATGCCTTCCACCAGCTAAGCTGCACATAGGGGTGGCTGCCAATGCCTCTGACTCCTGGGGCTGCTGGCAGCATTCCCAGGACTCCAGCTTTCTTGTCACAAAGTGCCAATGGATCACAGTAATTGAAGGATGAGCAGTGCAGGGGAACAGAACCTGTGCTACAGATGATGTGTCTGGAGGAGGAGCAGGTCCAACAACCTGCAGCATCCTTGGCTGGTGCCAGTCCCTTCGTTCCTGCTGTTGGCGCAACCTTCCCACACCAAGGGGCTTCTCTAGGCTGTCAGTGATGCTTTCAACTCTGCACTGATGTTGTGTCAAGAAAGACATCTCCTTCTCTTCCACAGATGGCTTGGTTTTGTCTTACTGAATCACATCAAGAGTTTCCCATTACCAGGAACCAGCCCATTCACTTTCTTCCAAATCGCACTGGGCACATTTCTTCAGAACCTTGAGGTGAGGATCTTCCTTCAGGATCTTCCCCTTGTCCCTAGAGAAGACTCAGGCTCATGGACCACTTTGTGAGGGTGAAAGAGGTTCTGGAAGAGAGGTGGTGGTGTGTCATGGAATGTCTAACCTGGAATCTTCCCAGCAAAAAGGAGAGGGTAAGCGAACTCGGATTCACTGATTTACTTGGAGATCATTGGAAAGTAGAAGGAAGACTTTGTCAGAAGACAGGACAGGGGCATGATGGCAGTTGGAAGAGCATCACAACAGGGGACTGCAGCACGAGACATGAGGCTGCTTCTACATCCTTCTGATTGCCACCCCGTTGCGTTGGATCCGGCTGGGATGGAGCTGATGTTCTTCTGAGCAGCGCATGGGGTGGATTGGATGTGTGAGGGTGACTGTTGGGAACACGCCAACAGTGTTCTGGTGCTTTGGCTATTGCTGAACAGCGCTTGCACGCCATCAAGACCTTCCCTCCCAGCAAGCAGGCTGGGGATGGACAAGAAGTTGGAAACGGATGTTCCATACAACATCATGCTCAGCAAATCAACACTTAATGAGTGGAGGAGGATGCAGGGACATTTATGCTTACAGTACCTGTCTTCCCACGTAAACGTTATGCACACAGAGACCCAGAAAATGGGGCAACATCTGCCTGCTTCCAGGACCCGCTCATTAAATTCCTTAGCTTGCTTTCTCCACATGCAGCTTTGAGCCTGTTCAACTGGCTTTATCTCCATCCACAAGCTTGTCTGGCTCCTCTCTTCCCCTCATCCTGCAGGAGGGGAGCAAGAGAGCAGCTGGGTAGGTGCAACTTGATGGCTGGCCAGGGTCAACCCATCGCACCCACATGCGTGCAGGGAATATTCCCACTTTCCACACAAATCGATTCCCTCCTTACTACTGCTTATATCCGATGTGCAGATGTGGCCCAACTTGTACCGCTTCCACCTTCTGGAACAAGCACGGAGCAGGCTGCAGGCATCTTCCTCCCTGGCTGCTCAAAGAAATCATCTCCTATGAATGGGCCTCTTTGCTTTGCACATCTACCAACAAGGGCCATGCATCATCTGTGCACACCTGCTCCAGGATGCAGGTCACTGGTCCAACCACCACTCCTTTTCTCAGGCACTCAGCGGTCTGGCTGCTGCTCCTAGCTCTGGGATACTTGGGCTGCACAACAGTGTAGGTCATGAGGCCCTTCATGCTCATCATTCGCTCCACTATGCATCAGTCATTCATTACGGTGCCCATTTTCCTATGCTAAACTATGGGATTTCTGCCCCCAAACACTCACTCCACACACAGCAAATCCATAGATGCCCATACCACCCTTGCTTGCTCTATCATAAGCACCTGCCTCTTAAACAGTAATCTCCATCATTAAAGTGTTTAGTTCCATCATACACCTTCCTTCTTCACCCACCAACACGTTTGGTGTGTCATCTGCTCCTACACTTGGCCTATCTGACACTCTTCACTGCAGGGACCACCTTTTTCTTCCCTTCCTGCCTCTCTAAATCCACTGGAGTCTTTCCCACTGAGATGCATATTAGTAAGGAACAGATGACTGATAGAGTCAGTGGGGTCTCCAAAGATGGATCTCCAAAGCAACATCTTTCACCACAACCCTACGCATGCGTCAGGCATCCGTGTGGTAACAGAAACCTTGCAGATGTATTTAAAATACAGAAAATAAAGAACTGAGATCAGCAGGGGAGTTCTGCAGGGGTCAGAGATGTTGAATGTAACCATAAATGGGACAGGAAAACCCACAATGACAAATCCTGTTGGCAAAGCAGCTGTTCATGGCTGGTACAGCAAAGAGAACTGCAGAACTCAATGCAAGCCTCAAGGACATGGACAAGAGAGGGCAGTGAAAGGCATCCACACAACACGTGACAGAATATGCTGGACAAACACACTACAAAGGTCTATAAAAACTATGAGAGTGAAGACTGAGTGCACCGCCTCTCCTACAATCAAAACCAAAGGAGCATCAAATGAAGGCAGCAAGAGGCATGTTTAAATAACAAATAAATGCAAAAGAGAAAGATAACCCCCCCTGCATATAGAAATAGACCTTTTTTGCTTCAACAAGTTATTATTGAACATGACTCTGTTTTAAAAAAGTACACCTACCTCCTCCCCTCCAAAAATGCACCCCACAGCCAAACCTCAACATTGCACAACTGGCAAAGGCCTTATAAAGGCTTACAATAGGAAGAGTAAGAAACACATACCTCCTAATTGTCAGCAGGGGGTTCTCCTGCTGCCACCTTCGCATCTGGAAGAGGGTTGGTATGAACAGCATCTGTATTATCTGCCTGTAATTCCCGACTCATTTAAATAGCATTTATTAAACACTGACCATTGACCTTTCGTGACCACTGACAGGTCTCAGGTATGTATAAAAGTTGTCATGCACATTAGGAAAACAAAAGAATTATCGACAGTTGGGGTTTGCCATTTACACTGAGTTTCTAAGAGATAGGCCATGGGATCCCGAAGTGGGAAGGTTTATTCGCTAGGACTAATAGAGAAACCCCTCCATTCAAAATATAGAGAATGCACTAACAAAAAATGCCCATCTTCTGCATTCTTTGATACATGTGATGCTCCAGAAGCAGAATTTGATGGTCCAAGTCTTTTATTTCTGGTATTAAGAACCCTGTCCTTTTTTTACGTACACATCCTGTGTATTTTATCCTGTGCCTATTTTGTTCACATCTTCCATCTACCAGAAACGTTCCTTGTTTAAACACGGAATTCCTTCTTGAAGTCACTGCAATGCAGCTGAGCATGGGCCTGCTGACGAGCTGCAGTTCAGCTCTGCTGCATCTTCCTGCGCATCTCCTCCAGCGCCGCTTCCCGTGCCCTTAACTGCTGTTTGAGTCGTGCGATTCTTTCATCCCGGATGGTTTCATCCAAGTCTGGAGGAGTCAAAGGGAAAGCATCATTTCTGAAAGACCCTTCCAGAATTGAAGGGGCATCTTCAGAAGACACTAAAACTGGGATACTTGGGTATGGAATGTCACTATATTGAGAGTCCAGGTCTTGCTCAGAGTCCCTGCCCAGAGATGACACAGTGAAGTCTGTGGAGATACTTTGCTGCAGTAAGACCGGCAGAGGTGAAGGACTTCTGCTATGGACACTGGAACTGGAGCTGGTGTTCTCTGAACTTGGACCTGTGGCTGATTTGACTGAAGTTTTCCTTTTCTTTCCAGTGTTTGACGCCGCTGAGGATTTTACCTTTCTTTTCTTAGCCAGATCCTCTTCTGGATCCACAGTTTTCTGTAGAGCCAAGAAAACACACTTCTGTTAAACTGAGCATCATTCCACATTGTAAGTAAGCACAAATCACAAGCTATTTGTTGCAAGCTTCTTGGCATTCCTATATGGAAGACGTTTCTTTAGCAATTTGAGCAAACATACCTCTGTGTTCAGTATCTTTCTAACAAAGATTCCCAGTTAACAATTCCAGAACACTGAATTCCTTCCTTAGTGCGCTTCTGCCTCTCCTGTGCACACCTATCATCTCCTGCTGCTGCTTATATTCAACTGCAGTGTGAGACAAAAACTTTGGGAACACTGTGGCTGAACAGAGCTACTTTGGATGGATAAAACCATTTTACTGCATTAAGATGGAAGTTCCTTCATTGAGGGAGTCTTTCCAGAAGCACCCAAACAAGTTCTTGGCCAACATCAAAGGACCACGTTTATAAAGACATTTGTAACGCTGAAGATTAGAGAGGTACAACAAAACCACACACGTGGATACCCTTCTTTGGCAGTCCACCTCACCTTGTCATGTGAGTGACTGAAGCACCTTAGAACAATGACACTTGACTGATCTCAAACTCAACTGTAAAGCCTCACAAGAAATTACTCTTCTATTATTCTGCTTATACCCACTGGATAAACATAATTGTTTGCAGAAGGTTCCATATAAATAATTAGGACAAAGAGGCCTGGTTTCTATTCCAATAAAGATTACGCCTGCCACCACCAGAGGGTCCAGTCTTCTTCAAAGCGTTTGTCCTTCAGATTTCCTCCCATGAAACCAGGAAAGAGGAGAAGGATTCTGGGACTACTCAAGTCATACTCAAGTCACCCAACTCCTTTGTGGCCCACAAACAAGATGTAGGAGCGATTCTGACAGCGAGCACAATTACTGGCTTGCCCTGATGAACCTAGAAGAGGAAGGATGCAAACCAACACCCAGCTCTGTACTGAATACACACATGGAGCTTTCTGAAGGTGTTGCTGTACACATTTTAGCACCGTAAGATTTCAAGATACCTTTTCCTCATTCACACATTCCTGGTGTTGATTCGTTGTTTCCACATCTACCAATGATGAATCAACAGAATCACTTTTCCTTTTCAAGCTGTTACTGGAGCAAACCCTTTCTTCTAGTTCCTCACAGGAGCTCCTTAATGGTATTCTCTTAAGGTAAACTCTCTCCTCCTTAGAGAGTCCAAATTTTTTCCTTAATTCCAAGTATTGTTTCCAATGTGGCTTTTCTTGCTGTTTGATTTGAATAAGCTTTCTTGGTGAATCCATCTTTCCACATTGCATCTGAAATACAGAAACAGTGAGAGACCCATCAATCTCTCAATCTCTCTCCCCACACACACGTAAGCTAAAAAGTAGTTACTAGGAAGACAGCTGAACATTTGTGTTGTCTGCCATTCTCCAAGAGTTACACTTAACACAGATTAATCCAACTTTTAGGTATTATATACATATGTACACAGGCCTAACGCTCTTGTTAGTCACGTAAAACCCCAAGTACACTGTGGAACCTCCAGAAAATGCAGAGTCCAACCAGCAAACACAGAAGTAAAAGAAGCAACAAGGAAATCACCTGTTCTAAAACTTCTAAATAACAAAGGAAGATGATGGAAGATCAGACAAGTGTTTTCACAGGGCCACATTTAGGCTGCTGAGTGCATCTCATACTTGTGTTGTGGTTGACAATACTAACCAAGCACCATTAGCCATGTTGGGTATCTAACCTCATTGTAACCTGAGCTGTGTCTGAACTTCAAGGTCAACCTCACATCAGTAGGTCGGGCAATGCACAGGCTTGCAAATTCACAGACTAAAACCAGCAAACATTCGATGTTTTTCAGAGATTAAAGCAACACTTGGCACCACACAGCACTAAAGGAAAAGAAAAAAAGGCTATTTAACCAGTTTCCAGGTGAGGAAGGATCACAAGAGTCCCTGCAACGCGTTCCAGTGATTAAACTTGGAATTTTGCACAAATATGCCTAGCTGGCATTGCTCTTCTACCTGCTCAATGCAAGCTTCAGAATGATTCCTTTTATCTGAAGGCAAATTCATCCTGGCCTCTTGAGCAACTGAAACTTTGACCTCCAATCTCCATGGGTAGAGGCTGAGGCATTTGAGGCTAAGGACTTTTTTGATGTTATGGCTTTAAAAGAACAAGAGGTCCAGCCTGAAGGTGGAAAGCCATTAAGGATCACAAGAGTTTCTTCTGCCTGACATGAAACCATGAGTCATAGAAGGTGGATCCCTCCTCACCATGGCATGAAAGGAAGGCAGCACAGCTCCTGCCTTTGGCTGAGCTAGTGGAGGCTGGAGCTGACTTAGTGCAACACCAGAGCTTGTCTCTGGGTGACAAACCCTGCTCGACCACCTCGGTTTCCACTTGTGTAGCTGCAAACTTCTCTACCTCACATCGCACCTACAACAGTCAACAGCTAGGCTTTGTGAACGTGGTACCAACCACGTAAAGCAGGTATCAAAGCATTTCAGATATGAAAGCAGACTGTCCCCAGGGCGCAACCAAGAAACAACTCTCCTATAGTTTCAGTTGTTTCTGACAATTTATCTTGTGAGAAAATACAAAGGCATCTTCTCCCTCCTTCTTCCTTTTCTCTATGCGTTTTCTCACTTGCATAGTACAATCTTATTGAAAAGAAAAGCCATTTCTTGACCAGAAACACACTTTAGATGAGCATATCCAGTGGCAAAACACCTGGTTACAAAAAACTGTGAACTTTTTAACAGCCATTTTATTCAAATAGAACCAGGACCATACAACAACTTAGCAGAGTGAGATGGGCACGTGTATTGGAGAGAGTTACCTTTTGACAGTCCTCACTGAAAGCACCCTCTTGCTTAGCCTGAGGCAAAACAGCCCTTGCTGCTTTGGGGGAATGGGTCTTTCCTTTGCCATTGGGGCACACGTTTTCCTGTGCCCCATCTGCCGTAACGGGGGTCACTCCACTTGAAATGCTCGTGTTGAAGAGCAAATTCTTTCTGTGGTTTACAGTGGAATCCTGCTGGTTAGCACTTGGTGTCACCGGAGCTGCAGGTGCAGATCTTACATCGCTTCTTAAGCCAGTTGGGGAAGGGGAGTCTGGAGACGGGTTTGGATCTTTCTGAGACAGCACCATCCCACTGGTTTTGGACAACATCAGATTCACTACTTCACTGGTTATTTTGCTGACTGCAGTAGAATCAATTAGTGTGGATGTCTCCGTTCTCACTGAAACATCAGAAGAGGAAGATGGCTGGTTGTCAGCTTGGCCCGATAGAACATCAGAGCTTCTTTTGGTCAACAAATAGACTTTCCCATTGTACATGACCAGAGCATTATCTTTAATAGGCAGGATTTTTGTTTGGCTTCCACCAGGACTGCTAGAACACAGTGATAAAATATTCACAGAGTTCGCTTCTGCATTCTTCATGTCTGACAAAGTCTTCAGGATCTTGGAAGCCACGTTATTGGATGACTTCACGGGGATCCGGCAAGGTGTCGACGACTGTGGACCTTCTTGCACGACCCATTTCATCGGACATTGCTGGCACTGCTGACCATCAGATGTTACTGTCCCAGGAGCAGGGCTACTTCCCTTTTGTGTAGTTGTCATTATCAACGTTTGTGAAACTTCCGGGGCAGGTTTTGGGCAAATGGCTCGTAAGCTCGTGAGGGCTGTTTTCACTGTTTTCACTGGCGACACGTAAATAACAGTTGGCGTTTTTGCACCGTCATCCTCTCCAGACGCTTCTGTCGCTGTCGTCGTAAGGATTTTTTGCTGTACTGCAGGTGGTAAAAAAGAAGCTGGGACAGATTTCACTTCTGCATCAGCTGGGATCTGGAGGTGGTGGCCAGAAGGCACGCTTGAAGTCTTCACAGCAACTGGCAGCGTTTTTGTGTTGAGCACCATGTATGCTGTGTTGCTCTGGTTGGATGAACTGGTGACAGCAATGTTCTGTAAAGACAGTTTGTCCACTGAAACACAACTGCTCTGGCTGTTAGCACCTGAATTTGGAGTTAGGCTTTCTTTTTCAGAACCTGCCCTAAGACTTTCCTGTTTGTCTAATGTCCTTGCAAGAATAATCTTTCCAGGGTTAGGAGACTGAAAAACGGGTATCTTAACAGATGAAGGCGCGGTGGTATTGCCAAGCTGTGTCTTAAAAGTAAGATGGACTGGACTAGAAACACTCGCTTTAGAATTATTTGCCATGGTTGAAGACTGAACTATTGGCACAAAGCTTCCAGAAGCTATAGGAATTGGAAGTAATTTCAGAAGGTTTTTTCCATCTGGTCCCGTCGTCTGAACTACTCGGTACATACAGCCTGCAACGCTTAACAAAACAAAGACAAGAGACAAGAGAAAAGAGAAAAGAAAGAGAGCGTAAGTGAACACAGCACAGATATCTTCATTCATGTGCATCAGTGCATTGTACACCCGGTGCTGCCACGCCTCAGAAGCTGATGAACTACTGAAAGCTCCTGATCTTCAGGGACTTCACTGGCAAATCAGACTGAGCTACTCAGTGTACATTTGGGAGCAGCATTTCAGAACCACAGGCTATCTGAAAAACAACGGGCAACCTTTACATCCCAGAGTAGCAAGAAATGGCATCCTTTTCAGGTAACAAAAGACCTACAGAAACCCCTCACGTTACCCTCCTCCTCTGCTTACAGGCCCTTCCGTTCTGAGAAAATAAAAAGCTCCTTCCAGATTTCACAGAGAAGCTGTGTTTTTTGCTTTCCCACATCCCTGTTCCTATTAATATCCCTGCTTAGTGCTACAAAGTCTGAATCTCACAGAAGCTTCAGGAAAAGGCAGCAGATTAGTTGTGTGGCAAGACAGAAGCAGAAATTACTTCAGACATACACACAAAACAAGGGAATTAAGATGCAGAATACACTGACTTTGTGGAGTAGGCTGTAGGGTGACCACATGCCTACATCTCCCCTGCCTGCTCATTCTTCAGGCAAATACAGACCACAAAGGTGGTGGTCTTCAAAGAAAGCAACAAAATGCTATCGAGATACATGCATTTATAAGAACAGAAATCTAAGTCTAGGAAGGGAAAGGCTTCAAAACTGAGGGGGAAGACATGGAAACAGCACCAGTCAAATCTGGAGAGTGCGTTTTGGTAGGTGAAGATAGGAACTCCCAAGAGCAGACAGACAGAGAGAACCCTGTCAAACCAGAAGTTAGTTGTGATGCTTCAAACGTCAAGATTTTCCAAGTCCAAGATACTGGACTTGAAATATGTATTGCAAGATGCTCTTGGGACTCTCAGAAGAACAATCTAATGCCCAAAGCACTGCAGAAGCAACACGGCATGTCGAGACATGCATGAACAAAACAGCTTCCCTCACTAGCAAAGAGGCCAAATGAACTGAAAGGAAGTTTCATAGTCTTGGTAGCAGATCCAGAATGATAAAAAGGCAAAGCTGCCAACTCCACTATGTCCCATTGACTTTCTGCATATTTCCCTGTACCAGTCCAGATGACATCAACGTTTTGTGCTGTTTACTGTCAAGTAGTTTTGAAACACTGGCGATATTTTCTGGCAGTGAAGCATTACAGTTTGGACTTCCAACCCAGCTTGGAACAGAGTGACCAGGAGCTACCCATCACGTGTCCCACTGATAGATCTCCTCAAGAAGTCAGTCAAGACGTTGCCTTTTCCCATCAAGTGAGAAGAAGGATGCTGCTCACTCTCAGAGCTGGACAGCTCCTGCTACAGTCTGAGGGGTCATGTTCCCCTTGGTGGCCAACACAAATGACCATGCTATTGTCTATCTAAACCACAAAGGCTTTAGGCATACAGAGCTTTCCTCATTGTACCTTACCATTAACTCCCACACCCAGTATTTTGGTACAAGGCCTCATTTCTAAGCACAATGTGTGAGAAGGCAAATGTTGGTGTGATTGATCAGAGCAGTGGGCAGCCTTCTGCTTCAAAAACAACCGACTTAAAAACATGGCCAATACCCCACCTGGTTCTAGTGGAAGCTGCCATCAGAGGTTTTAGTAGCAAAATGGAGTTGGATGGTTTGGCATCAGAAATGACAGTTGAGGAGGACTAACATGAGCAATCTTATAGAAATACTTTTGCTTAAACAAAGAGCAACTACAAGTGTTTGTATGCTAGAACTTAAAGCAGAAAGGACTCACTTCATATCTCCCAGCACTACTGATAATGCAAAGTTAGGAAGACCAGCACTGAGCTCCTGAACAGCTTCTTGCATTTGTATCTATTCTGTGCTTTGGATCATTCAGTTGAGCTTGATGACCTTAAAGGTCTTTTCCTACTTGATTCAATGCTTCATTAATAACCCCATGATCTACAATGGCAACTTCTCTTCTACATGCAAGAATCAATATTCTGAAGGCAAACTGAGAAGGACATTTTCATCAAGTTCATGTTCATGTCTGTGGAACACAGACATGGAGCTGTCAAACCACAGCAGCTTAAACAGAGCAAATGGGCACTTACCTCTGCTCAAACTAACTAGCACTGCAAGGAGGCATCAAAGGGCAGAGGAAACCCCCAAAGAGGCATGCTCCTTCACCTGTCAAAGCAAGGGGATACCTCTAATTTTTGGGCAAGAGGAAGGGGAGCAGCTCAGAGAGAGAGAGCGAGGGAGGCAGCAAGAAACACAGAGAGGAAGAGAGAGAAGAGGCAGAAGACGCATTGGCATGAATGCTTTCTTCAGCGGCAACGCCGGTGTCCAGCGCTCAATTCCACTCTTCTTGTTTCTCCCTTGAGTCACTGTTCATCTCCTTTAGGATGGGCTCAAAAAACGGGTTTGACACTGTGCTACAAACAGGATCTTTTAAGTAGGCTGGGGAAGAGACCTCCTTGAAAAAATCCGGTTTGTCAGAGCTCCAGGTCATTCTGCTTCTCAGGATCCCAAGAAGACAACGGCAGCTTTTGATCTTCACACTGCATGCAAAAAGAGCAAGAAACCCCCCAGGTGCAGTTTTGTGGGCAATAACATCCTTTTACCTGAAACAAATACTCACAGGACTGCAGAAGCACAAAAACAAAAAGCTAAAAGATAGACAAGAAGGAAGGAAAGGAAATGTTCAGAGACATTGAGAAATTGCATTCACACGTCTTCCCCCTTTGGAAGAGGAAGGCAAAGCATCATTCTCAAAGTTTTTAGATGCTTTTTCTACTCCATGTATCAACTGAAAACCCTCCACCATCTATAGCTCACATTGGTAAAGACTCTTCCAGGTGATACAAAGAAATAACCAGGATGGGCGCCTTGTATTACCCAAATTAAAGCATTTTTCATACATTATTGAGTGATGAAGAGGAGAGCTGGAAGCTGCCTTAGTTCCCTCTGCAGGCTCCCCCTGCTTTGAAGAATCTGGTTTAAGAATCACTCAAGCAGAGTGAAAAAGGTCTTTCCATCCCCTTTTAGAAATGTCAGATAATTTAGTTTAAGAACTGGCTGATTAAAAGTAATAATTATAGGAATTCTGTCCATTAGGCCAAGTTGGACATGAGGATTCCTCCCATAATTCTGAAGCAGTGTTCCTTCTCCTCTTCATCCTCCTTCACTTCCCTACCCCACAAATAGAAGCCCCCTCAAATCTCAGATATTAACACTAATAATAATTCCATTGAAATGGTACTTCAGCATGGCCCAAGGTCTAAAGGCAAAGCCGGAGGAAAACCAGCTCATGGAAGAAAAAACGAGTGGTGGACTGGGAGAAATCCTGCCCCATGGCACCACAGAAACCACCAACTTCAGGTTTTCATCTTCCCTTCCCAAATCCATACATAAATCTGCGCCCTTCAGGGTGGCAACTGTCAACATGACGACATCTCGCTTGACCGAAAATGGTCGTTATTTCTTGAGGCAATATTGAAACCTTCCAAGTCAACACTGGGCACGTCATTAAGCAGGATATGACAGCAGAGACAAGGGAAAGAAAAATGGGAACGTTTCCTTACTTAGTTCTATCAAGCTGGCAGAATAAAGAGAACAGTCAACGCTTCCCTCAGCTCAACAGAATTCCCATGAAGAAAACAGGAATTCATCGTCATTTGTTCCATCAGCCACCGACTGGATTGCGAGGTCTCATCCAAACGCATTTAGTACTCTTCCTAAGAAGCCCAAAGGACACCACACTGAGTATTCCAAACTTCACCTCCTGTCCCTGGTAAGGAAAGGCAGCTCTCTGTCAAGTCTAGGTGCAGTTCGACTTCCAAGTTGCCAGAAGAAGCATTCCCAGGCAGAACCAAGCTGGTTTTTAGCCTGCCTTTCCTTCCAACCATTGCTTTAGGGACACCTTTCACCTCCTCTCAACATGAATAAACCAAGCAGGGCCCAGAAGCCACTACAGAGCTCAACCACCCAACTTCACTGATTTTAATGGATTTGGCTGATTCCAGAAAGCAGGAAAAGGCCATTGATTCTACACTGGAAGCGTAAATCTGGGGACAAGGGCAAATTAACTGCTTGTGATGTGCCTTTATGCAGCCACATCCCATCCATGGATTAGCTGAAGGTTGAATCAAAACAGGTTTTGTTATCATTACCTGCAAGGAATCCTGGCTGGAATTTAGGCCCAGGCCATTCCTAACGCCTCGGGGGGGTTATTTAAATACTTATTTATAAATATTTATTGAAATATCTTTATTTATATATTATTGTAATCCAAATAATGGCCAAAGAAGCCTTCTTTGACGCTCATTTTGCATGGAAACACTTCCACCCATTAGGCACTATTCCGGGATGCGCCAACCGCTGGGAAACGCTTCCTGTCCTTGGCCATAAACCCCAGCTCTCCCCATGGACAACCAGCTCCTCCAGCCAGGAAACCTTCGGCAAAGCCCCATGCCCACGGCAACAACAGCACCCGAGGAGCTCACACCAAGCCCTGCGCCTCAAGTAGACGACACCAGAGCCCCAACGGGAACGCACACATGGAACCACGGAGAGCCTGGCAGCGGGAGGGGGGGGAACGGGACCCCCGGGCTCACCCCCACCCCATGGCTCTTTGCACCTCGGGTGCTGCAAGCCCATCCCGCGAGGCTGGAGCCCTCCTCGCCCCCCCGTACCCCGCTCCATGTGCCGGGCAGAGGTGTGAAGCCACAGACCGGTCGTCGTCGTTACCCCCCCCCCCCCCCAACCTCCGGTGCCCCCCGGGGCCTTGCCCCTCCGGCGCCGCAGGGAGCGGAGCGGCGGGTCCGTACCTGCGGGCGTCTCCTCCCCGCCCACCGGCAGGGCCCGGTACTCACAACTGCGGGGCGCGGCGCGGCCGCTCCTCGGGGCTCCGCGGCGGCCGGGCTGACATGGCACCGGCACCGGCCGACGGGCGGCGGGCGGCGGAAGGCAGGCGGCGCGTCACTTCCGCCCGCCCCGCCGGCCAATCGGAGGGCGCTTCCGCACCGGCTACTTCCGGGAACGGCAGGCACGGAGCTGCGCCGCCGGGCGGCGGTTTGACGAGCGGCGCTTCCGGGTGCAACCGGAAGTGGTTGGAAAGAGGGGGGAAGTGCTTCCGGTGCGGCAGGGAGTGGCTGGTTTGGGGCGGGATGGGACCGGTTGGGGCTGGAAATGACCGGTTTGAACACAGGAAATGGCGGGGTCGGGGCAGAAAATGGCGGGTTTCGAACAGGAAATGGGGGGGGAGCGGGAAGTGGCGGATTTGGGGCAGGAAATGGGCAATTTTGAGGCAGAAAATGGAAGAATTGGGGCAGGAAATGGTCAAATTTGGGGCAGGAAATGGCAGTTTGGGGGCCCGAAATGGCCAAATTTGAGGCAAGAAATGGCCACATTTGGGACAGAAAGTGGCAGATTTGGGGCAGGAAATGGCCAGTTTTGAGGCAGAAAATGGAAGAATTGGGGCCTGAAATGGCCAAATTTAGGGCACAAAATGGTGGATTTGGAGCAGGAAATGGCCAATTTTGAGGCAGAAAATGACCAAATTTGGGGCAGGAAATTGCAGAATTGGGGCAGGAAATGGCCAGTTTTGAGGCAGAAAATGGAAGAATTGGGGCCCGAAATGGCCAAATTTAGGGCAGAAAATGGTGGATTTGGAGCAGGAAATGGCCAATTTTGAGGCAGAAAATGACCAAATTTGGGGCAGGAAATTGCAGAATTGGGGCAGGAAATGGCCAAATTTGGGGCAGGAAATGGCAGATTTGGGGCATGAAATAGCCAAATTTGGGGCAGGAAATGGCCAAATTTGGTGCAGAACATGACAGATCTGGGTCAGGAAATGGCCAAATTTGGGGCAGGAAATGGCAAAATTTGGGGCAGAAAGTGGCAGATTTGGGGCAGGAAATGGCAGATTTGGGGCATGAAATAGCCAAATTTGGGGCAGGAAATGGCCAAATTTGGGGCAGAACATGACAGATTTGGGTCAGGAAATGGCCAGATTTGGGGTAGGAAATGGCAAAATTTGGGTTAGAAAATGGCAGATTTGGGGCAGGAAATGGCAAAATTTGGGTCAGAAAATGGCAGATTTGGGGCAGAAAGTGGCCAATTTTGGGGCCCACCCTCCTCCCTCACAGGAATCCCTTTGCTGTGTCTGGATCTCTTCTTCCCTGTTACTGCTCTGGGAGCAGCTCCACTTGTTCCTCAGTGCTTAACATGTCCTTGCTGCCTGCCCCGATGTTCTTTTGTTGCCTTGAACTCGTGTCCTCTACCTCATACTGAACCTGCTGCTTCCAACCCATCTCATTGCCCCCCTCAGTTACTGCCCATTTACATCAGCTCTGCTCTGCCATTGAATTGGCCCTGCCACCAGAAAGGGTTCAAGGGGAGACTCGAGCAGCGTTTGGACAAGACCTGTGCGAGGCATCCGTCAGGCTCCTTTGAGCCCGATGCGTCTGTCAGAGCCCTCTCCATGTCCTCGTCCGGGTTTCACGGTAACACATTCACCCATGAAGGTAAAGTCAGTTCTGGTCTGAATTCCCTCCATTGTGCTGACCCACACACACGGCTTGGTGCACCCCGAACCTGCTGAGGGTGCTCCATCCCACTGGCCATGGCACCGACAAAGATGTTCAACGCCGGTCCCCACACCAGCAACCCCTGAGGGACACCGCTTGGCACTGATCTCCACATGGCCAGCGAGCTGCTGGACGATGACTGGGACCATCCAGCCAATTCCTGATCCAGCGAGGGGTCCATCCATCCAATCCATGTCTGTCCATGAGGATGCCGTGCAGAACAGTGTCAAACGCCTTGCACAAGTCCAGGTGATACCTGGGAATAAAGGGTTAACATTGTGCCTGCTTGCTGAAGCAGTCACTGTGCTTGGTGAAGCAGAACCGTAGGAGTCAAAGTTGCTAGAACGGTGAAGCAGAATTGCAGGAGTTACGGCTGCGAGGCAGAATTGTAGTAGATCAGATTCATAACTTAACATTGAAGACATTCTTGGTTAAATAGGATCCATAGAAAGCAAAGGAACAAAAGATTGCCAGAGTAACAAAACTTGCAAACTTGACAAGTTTCTGCTTTAAGATATGTAAAACTGGCTTGTACCGAACCTGAGGTTTGGACAGGACCTGAAACCCCATTGAGTCTGTGTGAAAGCAAGAGATTACTCGCAGTGATGAAGAGGAACTAGAGACCTTCATCCTCATGACCCCCTAACGACCACCACCAGGAGGCACTGCGCAGGCGCACCAATGGGATGAATGCCAGAAAACTAATTATAATCCTAGATGGGAGTAGGTTTTGCATATGTATTAGGTGTGAAGCAATCCCATGTTTAGGTAATCATTATATGTAATATAAACAAACTGAGTGGCAAAAGAAAGGTGAGCATGACTTTGGAGGAGCGATCCCCCATGCGCCTCAGCACTGAATAAAGCATACCTACTTTACAACTATAACGCATTGCAGTCTATCCGTGTATCAGAACAGCGCCGGGCCCCACACAGCAACCCCTGAGGGACACTGCTTGGCACTGATCTCCACATGGACATCGAGCTGATGGACAATGAGCGGGACCATTCAGCCAATTCCTTATCCAGCGAGGGGTCCATCCATCCAATCCGTGCCTCTCCAGCTTGGTTATAAGGATGTCTGCGCCCTCAGCAAGTTTGCTGATGACACCAAGCTGTGTGGTTCAGTTGGTACGCTGAAGGGGAGGAATGCCATCCAGAGGGACCTTGACATGCCTGTGAGGTGGGCTTGATATAAGGAAAGCAAGTGCCTGGGAAACATAGGGTTAAAATACTTTTAGCTCAACATAGGTCCAAGATAGAGAACATGGTTTGTGTTGTAAGTCTGTGGTGTGATAACAGAATTTAGTAGTCTTACTAACATGAGTGAATGATTCATTACCATCCTTCTAATTATCAGTTGGTTTGGAGACAGTGCCTCCCAAACATAGAATGACAGAATAGTTAGGGTTGGAAAGGACCTTAAGATCATCCAGTTCCAACCCCCCTGCCATGGGCAGGGACACCTCACACTAAACCATGGCACCCAAGGCTCTGTCCTGCCTAGCCTTGAACACTGCCAGGGATGGAGCATTCACAACTTCCCTGGGCAACCCATTCCAGTGCCTCAGCACCCTCACAGTAAAGAACTTCCTCCTTAGATCCAATCTAAACTTCCCCTGTTTAAGTTTGAACCCATCACCCCTTGTCCTGTCACTATAGTCCCTAATGACGAGTCCCTCCCCAGCATCCTTACAGGCCCCCTTCAGATACTGGAAGCTGCTCTGAGGTCTCCACACAGCCCCTGAGGGACACCACTTGACACTGATCTCCACATGGCCATGGAGCTGCTGGACAATGAGTGGGACCATTCAGCCAATTCCTTACCCAGCGAGGGGTCCGTCCATCCAATCCGTGTCTCTCCATAAGGATGCCGTGCAGAACAGTGTCAAACACCTTGCACAACTCCAGTGCTCACACTTCCCTTCTCCACCAGCTCTGTAACCTCGTCCTACAGCCACCAGATTTGTCAGGCACGATTT